ATAAAATTGTGTTGTTTAAGCCACTAAGTTTGTGGTAATTTGTTACAGCAGCAAACATAAAACCAATACAGTCCCAAAGGTTATCCAGTGGCCCTTGGTATGCTTCCATGCACAATAAAATAAGCAGCCAGGCTACCAGGGTGAGGCCTAGCAAGTCCTCCGCCTTCACTAAGATCCCCAGTGCACTTCTGGACATTTAAATCCCACAAAATAAGAGGCTTGCCATTAATGACAGCGCCTACCCTAAAGATTTGGATTCAAGAGGTTTGGAACATAAGAATATCCATGTTTAACTGGTTACTCTACTAGAGATAGTTGGTGGTCTGTACTTCGAGAAACATTCATTTCTATGTGTAAGGAGCTTACAGTTTAGGTGCTGAGTAGGTATAATTCCAGTCCCTAACAGATAAATAATATGCATACTTCCAAAGACAGGTCAACAGCCAGGGAAAAGGATAAAAGGCTGGAAACGATCCAGAACATATAAATCCTTCCACATGCTTATGTTAACATAAACTATGTACAGAGTTAAGTCAGATGAGATCTCTGCCTGCTCTCTCCTGTGTGATCAGTGCTTCAGGGCTCCGGAGCAGGTAAAGGAGACTCCTGGCAGCCCTACACACCTCTCATGGAAAAGCATCCCCGATGAACACAGACCTAAGCCAGAGCCCTTTTCAGCCTCTCACCCATCCCACCTGTTTCTTTATGAGTTGGTGACGTGCTGGTCCAGGGTGTGTCATCTTCAAATTGAACCCAGTTGCTGATGGCTGAGGCCAGGTCAGGTGGGGGCTGCTCGGGGCTCCCAGGAGGAGTGGCCGCTTCAGAGATGAGGCCCATCTTCTCAGAGGAGTCATCCTGCTCTGAGTGGGAAAGGTCCTGAGAGCCTCCATCCACAACTTGGTTCTCCCCAGAGGAGCTCTCAGACTGGTCTGAGGAAGACGACAGTCCTGGGAGGTGCTCTTCGGTGCCCCCTGAAACAGACACCAGACAGCACCATCACATCACATGAGGAAGGCCACTCTTCATAGCTGTCTCGTGAAGAAAAAGCAAAGGATGGGCAAGGGGCGATCATAGGACCCACCATCACAGTGGGTGAGGGTGAAGAAACAGCCATGCCCACCTGCCTCTATGAAAAGGCATGTTTTCCTAATACTGTGTAAGAACTATAACCTCAGCATGTCAATAGAGGATAAGGGGAGGCTGAGGCTGGTTCACTGTTCTTATCCCAGCATCTACTCCAGTGCTTGGGGGTCATGAACAAAAATGCCTACAGAGGCCAATCAAGAAACATGACTGTGTCAGATGAGAAAAGCCAAAGGCAATAGGGACTGGTGGAGAATATGGCTGAAGTGGAGAGCTTCTGTCTGAATTAAAGACATTTAGATGCAGACTTCAAACTACATGTGTAATTAGACTCTGTGCAGTACTAATTACACATGTCTGCAGGCAGTAGCCAATGATCAGCTGAATAAGGCAGAGGCTCTTCTCCTGACTCTATCACTTTATTGGTTCTGGAACATTTAACAGCCTTCTATATATATATATTTTTTTTTAAATAAAAAAGCTATATCCTGATTGTGGGGGTAGTTGCACAAATCTACACATGTGTTGAAGTTCATCAACTGCACATCAAAAGTGGTCAACTTTTTTACTATATGAAAAGTTTTAAACAATTAAAGTACTAGTATGAAACTCCTTTCTCCCATCACTAGCCAGACAAACGAGTTCACCTGCATGTACTCAAAGCCTTTAGATTAGCTCTGTCCAGAAGAAACAAAAGGCGAGCCACATTATGTAATTTTCAATTTTCTAGTAGTCACATTAAAAAGTAAAATAAAAAGGAACAGGCAGAATTACTTCTAATAATTTAATTTTCAACCCAGTATGTTGAAAATTCCAACATGCAATTGATATAAAAATTATTCATGAAATAGTTAACTTTTTCTAGGTCTTTGAAATTCAGTATGGGTATTTTACACTCACAGCATGTCTCGATTCAGACTAGCCATATTTCAAGGGCTCAGTGGCCACATGGCTACCATACTGGACAGTGCACCTGTGAACTCACCCTTTCCAGGTGCTGTAAAATGAAGCTGGGTTGGTTTCAGTTGGCAGTCACAGCTGCAGTAGAACAGAACCAGTGGACACGGCTCTGCAAATATCTCCTGTGTCCTACCTTGGCCTTCCTCCCTGAGCACCAGTTCTCTAGAAGTCAACTTAGCCATCTTCATCATGATCGTGGATGACAACTACTGAGCTCTTGCCATGTGCCAGGCACTATTCTAGTACTTGACACATATTCATTCATTTAATCCTCACAACCACTGTGAAGTAGGTTCTGTGATTACCCCTATTGCACAAGCTACCACACAGAGAAGTTCAATAAATAACCTCCCCAAGGTCACAGCATTCATCTGTGATGCAGCCAGGGTTTGAGCCCAAGCAATCTGGCTCTAGAGCCTGTCACTCTTAACAAATATGCTTTTAAAATTGAGAAAATCCAAACTGCTATTGGGAGTAACAACCAAAAAGGCGGAGTGTAAAGCACTTTATAAATATGAAGTTTATGTTCCTTTGAAGAAAGCAGCCGATACTTTCGGTGTTTC